TTATTACGCATACAAAAGAAATATTTTGTACATTGGCCAGATTTCGAAAAGTAAATACCATTATTTCAAGTCAACTTTCTTAGAAAAATGTTTTGACGGGTCAACCACTTTTATTTTCCTACAAGTTCCAGACAAAAGTAATATTACGATGTCTCAGGTTGTTCGAAAATTGTCCCAATAAAATCATTGAAACGTGGACGATTCACTTTTCCTATAGATTCGCATATAATTTAATTGATTGACATGATACTAAATAATATGTAGTAATATTTTATTATTTATTAAGTTTTTGAATCTAAACATGTTAACTAGAGTTTGGCGTAGATACTTATTTATTTATTATTTTATTGTGTTTGAATATTTAATTAATTCGTAATATTTTACCGTTTGGCATTAATAAACATATTTATTTAATATTTTTATACTTATAAGAAGGTTATAAACAATTTTGTTATTAAATGTAAACATTGTTCAGATCATCAATGTACTTTTAAAACGTGGAATAATGTCCGGAGTTAACTACTCAATAACATCGTTTTTCTATGAATTATAGTGTCCGGAGTTACCCCATTTTGCGGTTAACTCCGGACAATATTGAAGTTTATATAAAAGCTCAAATATGACGATTATAATTTTAGAGCTTTTCATCATCTTTACTATGTATTGCTGTATTGAAATTTTACAGAATTTTAGACTCATTATTTTCAGAAATATTAAAAATAGTAAATTTTGTCCGAGTTACCCTCCCATTTTACGGTAATAATAATAAAATTGTATTATTATATTGGTATACCCGGCGACCGGCGTATTTTTACGTAGCTGTTATTTCGAAGACGCAGAGTCGCAGAATATTCTTATACAGTTCTAAATCTAAAATTAATGATAGCTTTTAATCACAACTATTGGGAATTCCATACGTTTATCAATTTATAGTTTGTGGCGAGCGATAACGGGCTGCGGCCAGGCCAGCCGGTTGCGGCGTCGTGGCGACGATATTTATATTATTCACTTCATTGCAGACTGCAGTCTTTGCACTAAGCAGTTTCTTATTTCACATTTTCACCGTTTATTCCCGTAATCTCGTGTCGCCCGTCAAATTTCGATCGTTATTATTACTTATTATTCGACAGCAGCCGATACTGGCGTCTGCCGTCTGGTGAAACGCGGTCGTCAACGACAGTAGTCTTTTATATGCGTGTTTATATAACGAGAATTTGTTTCCTACTATATTTATAAAAAAAAACACGATGTGGTCAGTGGTACACTTTAAATTGGATGATACGGTTGAGGTTGTACCCGAAAATTGGTGTATTAAAAAAGGTTGTTGTGCATGGCCGAATACAAAAAAAATAAGTGAATTGAAAAATGCAGTTATTAACAGAATAAAGCCGAAAAAAAACACGTTTAATTTCTTTGAAGCACGGACTTTGGCTTCTAATATTGGTAAGTTCAAAATATTAAAACCGAATTGCTTACTATATTATAAAATGTTTGTTATATAATTTATATTAATTTAATATGATTCTAGATGATTTTCAAGTGGCTCAAAAGAAATGCTCTGTGGCAAAAACTAAATCTGATCTTTCGTCATCAGAAGACACATTAAAACATCGAAAAGTCCGAAAACAAAAAGTTGTGAACAATTCTGATTCTGCAGGTATTTATTTATTATGTTATACGGTATTTTACAATATTGGTGTTTGCTTGAACTTAACTTATCTGACATTTCCTTTGACTTATTGTGTGACAAATTTGAAATTACCCGGTTGTGGTCTCATGGTTAACAACTAAAAAATGTGCAATGTACATGCACTCTATTTGTACAAAAAAAAACATTCTTTAGTTTCTTTCAATTTCAAACTATTGTGTACTATAACTTATAAATATTTTTAATACCTAATTGATAATAAATTAAATAAATAAATCTTAAATTTTATCTTAAAATTATATTATTTTTATTTCAGATGGAGAGTTTTCTGACAATGAGTCATCTGATAGTATGCCATCATTATCTTCAACAGGTAATTCATTTTAACTAATTCTTTGTTAGTTATAATATGTTAAATTACATGTTCATATAAAAATATATAAATAGAATAAATTAGTAAAACATTATTAGACTGTTAAATACTGCTGTTTGGTTTTATAAATAATACTGATTATATTAACTGATTTATAGAAATATGTATTTAGGTACATCTACTGTATTTTACAATTAGAGGATAATAGTTATATTTATTATTAGTCAAGTTCTGTAATATAATTATGTTTACCACTATAGTTAGGAGGTACATACTGCAGAAAAGTGAAAACTATTATATTTTTCATACTATGGTTAATGCAATTTACATAATTTAATATGATTTATTTCAGATGATGAACTTCAAGTTAAAAAGTCTAATGAATTATCATTAAAATCTAGTATGCAACAGCAAAAATTAACAATTTCTAAAGACCCTGGATGGTCTCCTTTAAAATGTTCGGTGATTGAATCTTCAGATGGTAAATATTTCATTGATTAAAAAAAAAAAAAATGTAAATATACCTATTTGTACCTATCCATTATTCATATGTTTTTAGCACAAATTACATCAACTCCAGTTCCTCAAAAAACTGACCCATTTATCACAGATATTAAAAGTTTGAAATCTAAATCCAAATACTACCATAATGATATTGGTAATAGTAGTGTTCCTTCAGAGGATGATGTAAATGCACAGACAAATCATTCTAGTAATTATATTATATCTAAACAATATATTTCTTGTGCATAAATTAATAACATTAAATAATTTTTTTAAACAGACAAAACTTCTTTGACCACCAAGATAGCTATTTTATCTCCTCAAAAGTTTGTAGACAATAGTAGTGGTTTAAACAGTACTATCATTGCTAAAGGAGATCACCCACATTCATCATTAGGTAATCTATATAAATTTTTTTTTTAATTTAAAACTTTAAAATCTATATCTAAATCTTTAATTCTTTTGTTATTCAATTATTTTATTAAAGTGTTATTATTTATGTATAAATATATATTTTTTTTGTAGCTAAAAGAAGTTTATTTTCTGACTTGGATGAATCTCCAAGCCTCGTTGTAATTGACAGTCCGATAAACATTTCTTCAAGAACATTATCTGGTGTGTTTTGATTATAGTTTATATTTTAATTTATTACATAATTTGTTGTTAATTGTATTTTATTTTATTCAATATTTTAACTTAAGTTACTTAACAAAATTAGGTCTTATATTATACTCTATATAGTTGTGCGAACTGTAAACTGTTTATAATACAAGTTATTATCTTACACTTCATCTCCAAGAAAATTAAGTTTAAAAAATAGTAACTATATTATATTTGTGCTTTTAGCTGACCATTGTGTAATCATCAAATCTACTGAAAGTAAATCGTCTAATTCAAAACAACAAAAAACTTTACATAAAGGTAATTACTATAGTAATATAATAATAAATATACAGTTCAAACTAAAATGTATATAACCTAAAATATTGGGTTAGACCTAAATATTTCATAATTGATTTAATTATAATATATATATTATTAATCATTCTACATTCACTCACCCACCACAAAAATAAAATACTAGGGATACCACTTTAGGAAAGTAACTATTAGGCATAACCAATGAATAAGCATATGAAGAATATTAGTGTCTTAATTGATTTTTTTTTTTAAATAGATGAACAGTATGCAAAATTGTTAAATTTTATGGTAACAACGAAATACGAATTAAGGTCAATACAGGAAAAATTGGACATCATTATTCAGCGAGATGAAGAAAAAAACTTAACAAAAACTAATGATTTTAGTATATATGACACTGCTGATATAGATACTAAACTACCAATCAAAACTCAAGAAAAATTGGAAGAATTAGAAAATGAATTGTCTAACAATAAACATTATCGGTGTCTGATGGTTAGCATTTTTTTTTTATAATTTCATATGTGTGTGAACTATATTATTAAATAAGTTACATTTTATTAACATAGGTGAAACGTTTATCATCTGTGGGTGGAAGGTCGATAAAAATCATGGTTAAACGAATAATGGCTTTAACTTTTTTTCCGGAATTATTATGTGAATTTTCTTATAATGGCCGCGGTAACAAGAAACGAACATTTCAGAAACTCCTAGTTAATAAAGTTATTTTTGGTAAGATAAACTTAAATAACAATATAGTAATTTTGCTTGGTCACTAATTTATTCATTTTTTTAATTTTAATATTTTAGATTCTGTCCTTACTAGTGATGGGAACAATCGAGAGAAAATAATCGAGTACTCGATTATTAGAAAATAATCGATTACTCGATTATTAGAAAAATTATCGAATTGCTCGGTCAAAAATAATCGAATGAAAAATTAGTAGTTAGTAGTTACTTATTAGTAATTACTATTTTTATAATAACTAGTTTATAGTTACTTTATAGTAGTTGGTATAGCTATTCGAATTTCGAACACTGAACCAGTAGGCAGTAATCATTCTTATCTACTAATCTACTATTCACTAATATTATAATATAATAATAACTAATACATATTTAAAAATACCCAGGCGGCCGCGGCCCGCGGCGTAGTATAACTATACTTTATTATTAATCTGTACTATCTGGAATTGTTAAGGAAATGGTTTCTATTATTATTTATATCTATTATAAATAATAATTTTGATCACATATATATATTATTTTGGTATAATATACTATATTTCAATTTAATTTATATGTTGTATCAGTTGTATCGTACATTTGTTATCGGACTAGCGACTATCACTATATAATAGTGACCATTCTCTCGATTAAAATAATCGAGTGAATTACTCGATTATTATAATATCTCGATTACTAATCTCTCGATTATCGAAATCATTCGATTATTCCCATCACTAGTCCTTACTATCAAAAAATTTGCAATGACTGATAACGCAACCAATGAAATTGAACAAATTATAAAGTATGTTCTTATTCAAACGCCGTTCAAAATCAAAGATCGTACTGCAAGAAAAGATTTTGTTTAAAATGTAAAATGCCTATGCAAAACAAATGCATATAATACTTCCATAAAAAAAAAAAATAATGTATTACTACTCATTAAAATAAAAAAAGAACTTTATCATTATGTTATATAATAGTTAATCATTCAAATAAAATGTAGCATATAACATTAAGATTCTTATAAAAAAAAAAATACAATTTTTGTAAGAAGAATTTGTTAGACTTTAATATTTATTTTTTAATACTATTTAAAATCATAAGATTTGTATCACAATATACAATTTGTTAAATATATTTACTTTGCTTACTTTCACGTTAATTTGTTATAATATGAGAAATATACTATTATAATTCATAATTATTTATCCTTAGTGAAGTCTACTCTGCATGTATACCTATAACCTCTTATAAAAAAAAATTGTTATAATAATTATCATTGATTTATTATATATACAACTAAAGGTGAAACCAACATTAAAATTGTATGTATACAAAATGTACAGCTAATATATCTATATAATCTATAGATAATGGATGAATCAAGCTAGAATATAACAAAAATTAAGGTTTAATTAACATCATTTTTAAACAATTATACAATGTTCAGTTAATATCAAATACCAATTAAGAAATTGTTATATTAAAGTCAAATAAATCTTGAATAAATATAGTTTTAACAGGTTAAATAGATATTTATTTTTTGACGTTCAGTTAACATTGTAGATCAAGTGTTTATTCGATCTATTTTTTTGGTCCAAATAACATTTATGCAAGCTTTATTTCATCTTAAAACGATCACTATTCAATCCAAACTAAACATTCATTTAACTATGAACATTTAAATTACGATATTCATTTAAAGTTAATTAAAAGTTGGTATGTTATGTGGGGTTTAGCTAGAACAGCATCATATTTTGACACAAGTTTAACTATTTCAATAAAAAGTTCTTTATTTTGTGTATCCTGATTAATGTCTTCTCTGTGTCCTCGAAATGGAAGACCATTTGTTGAAAGGAATAAAGATAGATCAATTGATCGTTTTAACACACTTCGATTAAATTCTACTTGTGACTTTTGAACTTTAATTAAATTTTGTTGGATAGTAATGTCTTTTGAAATTCTGCTTTTTAAAATTAAGTATTCATTTTCTGCTTCTCTGTGGTCCTTAGATTTTTCATGTTTAATAATTTTTTCATATCCTTTACGGAAATTAGAAACACCTTTATTAGGATTAGACCATTGATAACTGTGCTGAGATACAGATCGAAACAAAAAGCAAGGAAAACAAAACATTTTGTTAGCTTTTGGGGAATATACTAATCAATTTCTTTTACAGCTCATTCCTGATTTAACATCTTTGATATACCAGTTGGAAGAAAAATTTTTGCCAGACTCATTTTTAAAAAAAATATAATTATTACTATTAAAACCAGGTTGACAAGGCCCTATTTCAAGTAGAGTTCTGATAATTTGAGGTGTTAACACAGTATCAATAAATAAATATGGATCTGATGGATAATCATGGCATCTATCAATTAACGTAGAGTAGGAATTATCTTGGGCTAGTTCAATTTGTTTGTTAGTTTGAGAAGAAGAGCAACTGTCCATTTGTGGTATATTATCATTGAAAGGTATCAAATCCGCTTGTTTATGTTTTGAATCTTCTGGCATGTTAGATGTTTGTATTAATAATTCCTCTTTTACAAAAGAAGCTGGAGGTAAAATGTCATGCTCTGTTAAAAATATAAATTTAATATATTTTTATAAATAAAAAACTTATTTTTATTAAATCCATAGGTAAGTTTAAAGTACCTCTTATCCTCATCTAATTATCATACAACATACAAGGACTATAAAAAAAAGTAATATTTATATTTATATACCTTTTAACCAGATACCTACATAGATTTGTTTATGCGCATTTTAAGACAAAAATTTAATTATACTTTAGGCCAAGTATTTAAAATTATTAGCTTGATATTTATTTTTTATAAACATAAAATCACATATATAGACATAAAAAGTGAAAATATATATTTATAATATTTTTTTTTATTTTTTCAGTAAGTAGGTATCTATTATTTTTATGTAATTTTTTTTTAATAATTTTAAATTTATATCAATAAATAAGTAATTACATTTTTTAAATTAAAATACTTACCAAGAGTAGGCAAAGTGGGTGGATTATCTTCCTCTTCACTACGATTATATTCCAAAGATGGTTCTTGACTAATTTTTGATTTTAGGAATGGCATAATACTTTGGTTTCCTTTAACAGCCTTTTCTTTTTCTTTAATTAATCGCCTTGCTCCACCAGATAGTCTAATTTTTTTACTAGGTGCTTCCATCATTAATACTCGACAAAAACACGAGTACACGACACAACACAGTAAGACGATAGTGAACAGAGTGAACAGACGCTTGTTGACAAAATGGTAAAATACAATGAATAGTAAAATAGTTATAACGTAATATATATAACGTCATACTATACATTTTTACATAATATTTATAATGCACCAATAACGACCAATGACCATGGCTCTTATATTTATTATGGATATTGGAAGATAATGTAAAATATTATTATTATTAGATTCCACTAATAACACGATAAGAAAATCTATAAATAGAAAAGAGATTTTAATGAATAAACAAAAATATCGACTATCGGTGTATGTTTTGGCTCGGCTATCATGGTATGCGAGTTTTTCGATTTAGGTTTAATATAATATTTTGTTGATACTCGCTGGCGGCTGGCCGTACGATTTCGTACGTACTATTTATACTTCAATACCCAGTCTTCATATCTTTCTAATTTCTATACATCATATATCATAATATTCATAATATATTATATTTATATTTATACATTTACAATTATATTTTCATAGAAATGTTCTTGAGTCTGTGTATATTTTATAAATTACTTATAACACCATATTATTAGTTTATATTATTTCTATTTTTGATTATCATAGTATTGTACATATTTATGTAATTTGTCATTTTGAGAGGCCACATTTTACCGAGAAAAAAAAACGGTGGGTCAGCTGACCCCCCCACCCCCCCCCCCCCTGAACTTACCGTAATGTAATAGCTAGTCTCTCAATGGCTGGAATAAATCGTCGCATATTTGTATCCTCACCACTTATTTCATTTGTAATAAGATTCAATAATTCATCTAAGATTGTCGAGACATACAAAAATAACTAAAAAATTTGTTTTCATCCTGCATCAAGTCATTGTATCAGAGCCGCATTTAACGGGTGGCAAGGGGGGGGGGGGCAATTGCCCCGGGGCGGCAATTTTAAGGTGATTTGAGGGGCGGCAGATTTTTAGAAAATATAACATATTATAATATTATATACGTTCTACGTTACAAATTTCATATTACATTTTTAAAATAATACAAAATTATTATCATATTATAAATATTAATACCAATAATATAATTTACAAACAATTTAATAATAACTAAATGCATCATAGTTGTGTGCTTGCGTTATTTATAGCTTTTAGTTTGTGGTGTGGGCGTAAGACTCAATCACAACGAAGAGCTGTAGCCTGTCGCGGGCAATGCGGGCGTATGATCTAATAATAATCGTAAAATACGTATTTGATTAATTATCATTGTATTAATTTTATCATCGACAGTCGACGACCACAGTCTCGGCGCAATTTCGATAGACAACAGTGTTATGTTTGTGACATTTTATGTTTACCATTTTAACATTATCAAATACTATGTCAGGTAAGCGAATTAAATTAAGTGGTGCAGCTTACCAAAAAGTAGCGAAAGAAAAAAAGAAAAATAACGAAGAACTACTTCAGAAAATTCCAAAACTTCATTCTTTTTTCCCTACTAGAATTATAGGAAGTGTAAGTATTTATTTTTATATAAATTAAATTTTTTAAATCAGATATCAACTAATCTAAATATTTACATTGGTTATAGCCGGAATTGATCCCTACAGAAGTACACGAAGAATATTCTGGATCTCAAACGTGTTTATCAACTGATATTTCTAAAATTGAAATACCTTTGAGTACAACCGATGATACAAATATTACCGAAATGATTACGCAGCCACATAGTATACAGGTATAAATATAATAAAATATACTTAATAAAATATATTTCTAAATACGGATAGTCAGATTTTTTTTATAGTAATTATATTTTTTCTATTTATAATATTTTTTCACTCGTAAAATATGTTAAGAATCCCTATTGCCGATGTTTTTTTTTTGATGCCAAGTATTTGTATTTGTTCTTAAATACTATTTCTTAGAAATATTTGAATTGTAATTGAAATACATTGTACAATAAGTTCCGCTGAATGTAATCACTGGTTAATAGAATCAATCGTTTATTGGAATCAAAAATTAAAATCTCAAACCAAATCTTACCTTACTATAGTCTATAATGTTAAAATGTTAAATTTATCTTTTGTTAGAATCACTGGGAAACTATCGTAAGGATAACATTTGACAATTGTTTAATAATTATGTTGTACTAAATTGTATTTAATTTCAGTATTATTTGTAATTTATTATTTATTTTATTTACATTTTTTTTACAGAATTCTTTTTATGTGGTAGTCTTTTAAGTTGATTTAAGTCATACCAAAGTAGGTAATACAAATCAATTAATTTCGTTATTTTTATCTTTATTTTGAATTTGAAATGTTTTTAACATTTTGTTATTTTAATTATTAAAATAATAAACTTAAGCTTTAAAGTAAACATAGATTATGCTTATTAACATCTATTACATTAAATTTCTTTTTTGTGGGGGTTCAAATTTGTAATTTGCCAATAACCGCTATTTATCGGCCCTGGTTGGATCAATGTGATCGCATTAAGCAGAATTCACTGTACTTTCTAAATGGACATATTTGTATAACTGTATCTGTATTTAAATATAATTTTAAAAGTATCTATTATAAGACTTTCTATTAAATCTATCATATGACATCTATGTCTCACGACTCATAAAGTACCGTAAAACAAAAATGTTTCTGTTTTATTTAGGCAGAAATCACTGATTATAATGATAAATTTCAAATTCCCGGACCTGATCCAGTAAAATGGAATTTAAATTTAGATTCCATTAATTTCTTACTTGCAAATCCTCCGAAGATAGATGTATCAACTATACCATTTGCAGAAACAAAACGAATGTTTGGTAATATAAGTAGACGTCTAACTCCTGATAATTTTATGAGAAAACTTCAGAATGGTGAGAAAAAACTAAGAGAATGGGTTTTATATTCTTCTTCAAAAAATGCGTTATTTTGTTTCCAGTGTTTGCTTTTCTCACCTAAACCAACTGTTTTCGGAAATAAAAACGAAGGTTTTATAAACTGGAAAAAATGTAATGAATGTCTACAAGAACATGAGACAAGTAAAAGTCATGCTGAATCAGTTAGAATCTGGTTTTCTAGAATCAAAAAAGACGACCGTGGTGTCATAGATTTGGAACTAAAAATAAATACTGAAAATCAAATTTCTTATTGGAAAATTGTTTTATATAGAATCGTTGAAACAGTTTCTTTTTTAGCATCTAGAGGCTTAGCTTTTAGAGGAAATAGTCATAACTTTGGTTCAAAACAAAACGGAAACTATCTTGGTTGTCTGGAACTAGTGGCTAAATTCGATCCTTTTTTGTCTGCACATATAGCTAATTATGGAAATAAAGGAAAGGGGAACGTGTCATACTTATCATCCACTATATGTGATGAGTTTATAACTTTAATGAGTAATACTGTAATAGTTAAAATTGTGTCCGAAGTTAAAGAGAGAAAATATTTTTCACTTATAGTAGACTCGACTCCTGATGTAACAACACGAGATCAACTCACAGTTGCCATAAGGTATATTTCAAATGAAGGTTTACCGGTGGAACGTTTTCTTGGTTTTATTCCCTCCATTGGACATAAAGGATCAGACATGGACCAAGCATTACTTAAAAAATTTTGTGAACTTAATATAGATTTGAAGTACTGTAGAGGTCAATCCTATGATAATGCGTCTAATATGTCTGGTATTTATAACGGATTACAGACTCGAATTAAAAACTATTCATCGACAGCCTTTTTTGTGCCATGTTCAGCACATTCTTTGAATTTAATTGGTTCCAATGCTACAGATACAACTCAAGAAGGCACCAAATTTTTTTTTATATGTCAAGCAATTTACAATTTCTTTTCTGTTTCAACATTTAGATGGAATATTTTGACTAATTTTTTCGAAAAGAATCCAGGTTGTGTCAAAATAAAAAAACTGTGTTCAACTCGTTGGTCATCCAGGTACGATGTATGTAAAGCAATGTGTAATGGTTATGCACAAGTACTCAGTGCTTTAAATACTATTTGTGATGACGAAGGACAAAAAAAAGATACAAGACATGAAGCTCGTTCAATCAAAAATAAAATGGAGAGTTTAAATTTTTGTTTTATGATTTGTATGTGGACACCTATACTTCAAAGATTTAACGCAACAAGTATTAGTTTACAGTCTATAGATATAGACCTAGCCACAGTTGTAACTCTGTACGAATCTTTAGAAAAATATGTGGAAGACTTTAGAGAACGATTTGATGTGTACTTAGATCAAGCAAAAACGATGTGTTCAAAACAATTATTTTCCTGGGATGGCGTGAGACAGAAAAAGAGAAACAAGTTTTTTGATGAAACTGAAAGTAACGATGAATTATTAGAAGGAGTACAAAAAATGAAATGTGAAGTGTTCTATGTTATTATTGACAGGCTAGTTATGAATTTACGTGAAAGAAAACTGTCCTACACTGATATAAATAATAATTTTGGTTTTATATTAAAACTAGATACATTGGATACTAACGGAATACGTGAAAGTGCTAAAAACCTAGTAAAAATATATCCTGAAGATTTAAACGAGACATTCATAGAAGAATTAGTACAATTTAAAAATATTCTTAATTTTTTTTCAAAAGAAGACAAATCGTCTTTTACAAGTCTTTTAAAATGCCTCACAAATTCTCTACTTTTGACAACATTTCTAAATGTAAAAATAGTATTGCGAATATTTTGTTGTATGGCTTCATCCAATGCAAATGGGGAACGATCATTTTCTGTACTTAAGAGAATAAAAAATTATCTAAGGTCTGCTTTAGTTGATGAAAAGATGTCATCACTATCCATATTAAACATAGAAGACGATCTTTTACAATAAATTGATTGGTCGGACATAATACATAAATTTGCAGTTTTGAAATCGAGGAAAAAATTAATATAAGTTGAATAAAAATGTATTTTAATTTACTGTTTTTAATTTTTAATTCTAGTTCTAATTAATTATATTATGATTTAATAAATAATGTGTTTCAAAAAAAATTTTAAGTATAAATTCATTGTATAGGTAGTTATACTCTTTAATATTTTAAAAGTAACGAAGAAACGTATTAAAATATATTTCTGCTGTGTTTGTGATAGCGATAAAAAGAGAGGTGAAAATCATATTATACTTTTTAAAAATATATAGAGGCGGAAAATTTTATATTGCCCCGGGCGGCAATGTGGCTTAATGCGGCACTGCATTGTATAGTGTAAAAAACTGACCAGTCTGAAAAGCCTTGGTTGAAGTAGTGGATGTACCCAAAATCGATGTTTTCTTTTTTGTTTATTTCTTTTTCTTTTTATTAAAACAAGAGCAACGGCATCTTCTTCCTCCGAGTTCATGATGTCGTTTGAAAAATAAATATAAAATGGTGAATGGAATGATAACGCGCATTTGACGCGCGAGTGTTAAATTTAAAAACGCTCGTGGAAAAGGACCCTTAGTATTTATTAACGTTATCTATTGCCACATAATCCGTACTAATTTACGTGTTTCCATATTGAGTATAGCTATGGTCTATCTATGTATATTTAATCAATGATTATGATATAAAACAGTGTATACTTATAAAAAGTATACATATACGAGTATACCTTTGTTATTTCATTGTAAAAGGAAAACATTTTTATATATATATTTTACTATATACATTACCTGTTATTAAAAGTAATATAATTATTTTAACATGTATGGCTATGATTTTATGTTTTAGCGTATAATTTATGTCATAATTAATAATTCAATTTATCACTCATTACTATGTATAATATTATTCATTATTAATTATAATAACTGTGATATTATAATATCTTATAATTCTTGTACCTAATTAATAATGTTTATTATCGAACAAGTTATTTTTATGTCAGTGAAATATCTTTTAAATATTTGTCTATGCATTTTGTCTTACTCTCATATTCGTGTAAACCTTGTGTGTCAGAGTTATTTTTATTTTTATTTTTTTTTATTCCGATTTACATTAAAAATTTGTACTTTACAGTTTCTACTACCATCGTGTTTGGTAAAGGAGCTTTTAGCCTTTAGGCACACTTGAGCTTGTCGTTTGAATTTAGATATATTCAACTTATAGGTAACGTGTTCCTAATATTTTGATACCTATCCTAATTAATGTCTCATGAATTTAATATACCTATAGTCTGCACAAAACAACATGACATGATGAAGTGTAAAGGCACCTCAACGTATTAACGAAGTTTGAGACTACACGGAACACGGCGATAATATACGGTATTTATATGATCTAAAATACATGTAGTATTTACCGAATGTATACGGTATTTACCGAAGATACGGTATAAACTAAAGATACGGTATATATCGAAGGAATGGTATTTATCGAAGATACATTATTTATCTGAAAGACGGAATGAACCGAAAAATACCGACATACCGGTATACCGATATAAACCGGTATATAAACACATACCGAATACCGGTGAGTGAATTTCACATACCGTTAGCTCTATACCACTGTGAGCTTAACCCCATTGAACTGGCTTGGTCATCAATAAAGAACCATGTTCAAATAAACAACATAACTTATAAACTTCTGGATGTAAAAAAATTACCAATAGAGGACATAAATTGAGTTGACGCACAAAGGTTATTAGAAAGGAATGTGAGAGAACGAGTAAAAAACGAAACCCAGATGGTACCTTTAAAAAATACATATCTTTTAAGTGTTCAAAAAGAGGTTGCCAAACATATTTTTCAATTCGAAAACAAAATAAATTTTTTTCGTACTTAGATTTAAATAATGGATGTCACAGTAATTTATCATTAACCGAGATTATGAAATTAGTATGGCATTGGACACATTTGGTACCAGTTCATCAAGTTGTACAATTTACTGGCCAAAGTAAGAATACAGTTGTCGATTGATTTAATTTATGTCGCGATGTGGCAATTTATAAATTTGACAAGTGATCAAAATTAGGTGGAAAAGATGTGATAGTTCAAATCGATGAATTATTATTCAAAGGAAAACACAAATACAACCGTGGTCGTCTTCGATGTGGTGATATTAGACCTAATTAGGTAACTGAAAATGATAGTGACGATGGTGATGATACAGAAGAAGATAACAATAGTAATAATACAATGTGTGCAAAAAATTATGGAACGCGTGTATCTGGACCGTGGGTTTTTGGACTTTGTTGCAAAAAAAATGATATTTTAGAATGATGGTTATTCATTGTAGAAAAACGTGACAAAGTAACATTACTTCCTATAATTTGTGGAAATTGGAGTTTTTTAAGATTCCAAAAACCACCCACAAATCGAGGGAAACACTCTGTTTGTGATTTACAAGCCGCACCGCGTGTAAATCTGAAGATTTACGTCGATGGAGCTCGTAGGTTTTAATACACACAGTGATTAGCTGAAAATCACATATTTAAAAGGGAATATAATGTTAACCAATATGAGTATGAACTCAGGTGACATTAATTAATAATTGTATAAAAGAATAACATGTATAGTTTAAGGTAATCACGAGGTTTTATATTTTAGGTGTGACAAATAATATTTTTAAATAATAATAATTTCAGTTACAAATAATGTTTTAAATATTAATAATGGCAGATACAAATAATGTTTTTAAATATTAATAATGGTAGTTACAAATAATGACAAGTTCACATAGGTGAATAATAATATAGAAATTTGATTTATAACAATTGACAGTCGGGCAACGTGGCAGGTATGGGAAATAAAGATGAGTATAAAATGGAAACCTGTCACAAGACATATTGATTTCATATGTTCTGCTTTTCAGTTATAATAAAAATAATAAAAACCGTTCCTGGCCCACGGGAGACAAAACACCACAAAACTCGTGGTGATCCTTACAGGGTTACCAGGGGGATACGTATATTGTATTTTTTACAGTATAATTGTGATCGCCAGGGTAGCGTAAAGCTTGCGACAGCTTAATAATAAAGGAAAAAACGGGTGACTTGCATCTTATGACGCCTATACATTGTGTTTACAGGGGGGAGGGGGAAAGAAACATTATACATTACAAATCATGAGTATGGTCGACTGGTTTTTGAGATGTGGCTTGACGTTCCGAGGATATGGGTGGGCTGGCGAACAGCCGCCAGCACAAACGCAGCCGGCACGGCGCACCTGGTCGTCGGAAACGTGGTTCCACATTGTGAAGTAGGAAAAAACAATCGTCCGTAGAACAATGGCCACCATGGCCTACTGACGTCGCTAAGCCCATCATTGTGCTTGATCGATGACGGTTCAGAACAGAAACTGGTACAGTGACCACGTGTGGGTGGCAGACATACAATGGTAGTCAGCAAAAAGTCCGAGATACGTGAACTTAGGCTACGTCAGCTTGGTTACGCCAGGCTAAACTTTAGCTAACTTAGGCTACATCGGTGGTCGTGAAGAGAGAAAACATTTATTTTTCTCAGCAACGCAACGGCCCGTAGTTGTCGAGTTGGCGAATCTTGATATTGTTGGTGCAGAATGTTGTATGGAAGGAGTCACCAGTGTCGGTAGATGCGGAGATATAGACAATACCAAAATTAAGGGGAGTCACAGATTGCCGTGTCGATGTATGCCCCGACGGACACGGCGGATACGGCCGGTAGCGCCGACTGGCAAAGAGCGACGGCCTGTTGACAAGGTTTGATTTGAGGCAGATTGTGGGGGTCGGGGGACAGGTGTTATATAACAATCGCATGTTCACTGAATATTTGTAGTGCGTTGCGCTAATAGTATAGGATGTAAGAATCTATTAAATAATAACATCGGTTTGGGGAAAAGCTTTGTTGTATGGTGTATAATATAAGAGGCAAAAATTTTGTTACGTTACATACCTTCCTCCCCAACAAGTTATTAAAGTTCCCACCTTGGTTGGGACTGATAACCACTTTTTGTAAGAGAAACGGTGACAGAATTTGGGGGAACATAGACATAAGTAAAGCGGTGATTGACAATTTAGTTGGAGATATTATAAAGATTATCAATTTAATAATAATAAATTCTGGCTTACAACCATAAATAAAAAATAATGAAAACTTTGAGTTAATAAAGAAATAGTTAAGGTATAGGCATCATAACAAAAATAATAATAATAATAATAAATTGCAACACGATCAGTGTAATAATATATAAAACCTACACGCGAGTTTTTTTTTGTTTTTTTTTTTTTTTGACACGCATGGCAAGCCATGGTGGGACCTACCGGGGAAAAGGGGGGCTAACAAGAAGTTCCTGCATGTTGTGGTTAGAGAGCGATCAAGAAGAGTATTGTGGTGGCTCCTTTGCTCCTTGGGAGAGTCGCCCTTCCATGTCGCGGGAGCGAGGGACGTGGTACCGAAGAACACTGGCTTGGCCGTCTCCACGTTGACCCAAGGAGAAGCCAGTTCTCACCGACCGCTCCCGAAGTATGCAGACACGAACCACTTAGGCTTGCGACCAAGGCCACAAGGGCAGCCAGGCCTGGTCGGTCCAGCCTTCGTCCGTCTGGACCAGGCGTCACTACAACACCGGTTTTTTTTAAGAGAGAGTATCTCAGATTCATTGCCGTGCAGAGAGTAGCAGCACTACTCTCTGCAGGACGGGGGCTCTACCGAGCTGGGGTGAAGGGGTAACATGAATTTGAAGAAAGTACGAGACAGAAAAAAGGCAGTTTAAAGGAGGGGACAAGGGGGGGACTACGTTAAAAGTTACGAATTAAATGACCCAGACCTACTATGGTTGTACGTACAACCGAACTTGTGTAACACAATTGTGTGAAGCGAGGTTTGAATCCAGCGGTGGTCCCGTGTCAGGCAGAAAACACACGAGCGGATCAC